AATTTTATACCTTTTAATTGCCACCCAGGAATGAAAGTCAATGGGAACCAGCTGCTTTCTAAGCCCAGCAGCACTTTGAGTTCGGCTCTCTTCTAGACAGTTAACATCACTTGCACATTGTTTGACGTGGGCTGGCGTAAAATTTTTTACATCACCGTTGTCGTATTCTACTACTAGACATTAATACAATTATGTGCATACCTTGTGCCTTGCAAAAGTATTCAAACCCCTTCTAAACCCATCGTCATGCTGCAACCGGAAACCTCACAGGTTTTTATTGGAATTTTGTGAAATTGAAGAACACAATGTACTGCATAGTTATAAGTTTAAAAAAATGAACTGTGTGCCATGTGACAACCCCTGTACTCTGATACCCCTTAATAAACTTCAGTGTAAGCCACTGCTCTTATAATTCACTAGACAATAAAAATAAAATATCCTAAACATTATAAATAAATAATTGATCAATCGGTTATTAAAGAAGCAGCTGAGATGGCAATGGTAACTACGATGTGTTTGGGAAGCCTCAGAAATCCAGAACTCGGACTAGAGAATTTGCTGATTACTATTACGCACACATTCTGCAGATCGTTGAAAGAAATCACTGGAACTGCTTGGAGTGTAAGGCTTTAAAAACAATGTAAATGAGTCATTTTGCGTTGTTCAAGAAGAAAATGTAAATCATAATTGCATATCTCTAACAAATCTCAGATAGAGACATGTTAGCCCCAGGGAGCTCTCTGTTTTCAAGAAATAAGACATTTCTTACACCAACATCCATGTGGAAAAGGATTTACCGTATCTACATTTTGTTTGCTTTCTTATATATAAGAAATAAAGGAACTTATGGTTGACAGAGCATCGATGTGTGCACTGCAACTCCCTTTACTGCTAAAATAATAGCTGTCTGAGGCATGTTAACCATATATAGTCAAGAACTATCCTGAACAATATAATGCCAATAAAATCACTGGTCTTTTTTCGCTTTCACCTTTGCCCTCCCACCTTGACAACACTGTCATTAAAGACTTAGAATGGTCCATTTCGGCTCTAAATTACTTCTGTCTGGGTGCAGATTCAAGAGTCCCTGAAGATCTGCCACAGGAACAGGAAAGCTCCTTTATTATTGGATCTTTTCCTCCTTAATGTCATGTCAGGAACGCGCATCCTTATTTTTCGCTTGCTGGCTCACAGCACAGTCTGGGAGTAATTTAGTACAAATGTGGTTTAGGGCTTTGAACATCATGTCCACTAACAGTCTATATATGTTTTAGCATCTTTCATGGTATAAAATATGCTTGATGCAGCTTTGTGCAGTGTTTTGACCTGTGTATTTGCTCTCAGCAATATATATTTTTTTCCTGTTCAGCTAATATGAGAGGATTTCGTTTTCTCCGATAAGGACACTGGCTTCAAGATAACAATTAATAACTTGTGCTTTTTTTTTTTTTTTATCTCCAATCTTATTTGCATAATAAGATAATCAGTTTCGGCTTCTATAAATGAGGCTTATTAAAGCACTTAATCTGAAGGAGAAATGTACAAATGACTTAATATTTAAAAATGTAAATGTAACTGTGTTGTTCTGGCTTAAATTTAACACATGTACTGTTATCAGTACATGTCGATGTACTGATAAATTTCATCAGTTGTTGCTATATGAGCTCATTTGCAAGAGATGTTTTTCATCACTTGTTGACAATCACAAATGCACTGTGTACTGCTGTTCCCTCTGCAATGAAGTGTGAAAAGGGGATTTTATTATTCATGTTTGTGAAAGCGATATGACTGCTACAACAGTGCTCTTTAGTTAGCAATGTGCAAAAATCTGAAATCTTAAAGGCATATTTACTGGTCCTCTTTAATAAATGTTGCTCCGTAATTCTTATTTTTATGTAGTTGTTTTTTTTTTTCATCTTTTGTTGAGATCCTGACTATTTTTACTAAAATAGTTCAGCTCTCCTTTGTTAGGTAGTTGTTAAATCTCCATATTCTACTATTTAATGACAAAAATAATAAAAGAAGCCGACTTTTGTGTATAAAGAGGAAAGACAACTTTACAAATAATAATAATAATTAACAATGCAATTTTCTAGGTGGAATTTGTTTAACACTTTTGGTCATTCTCAATGACTAAAAGCAGATTTGGGTGCACTAAGGTTTGCTTTAGAGCAAAAGTCCCTGGATAGATGTGGTTATATTCACAACAAAGCAAAAGCAGAAAGCTTGATTAATAAAGTACAATTACTTTGTGTTTACTCTGCTTTTTGGAAGAAGATTTAAGATTTTGGGAAGCAGTTCTGTACTAATAAACTATAAAAAATCTCCCAGTTGCATCAACTACTGTGGCTGCTGGGCTAAATATGTATCATTCTTGAACGACTGTTGCTGGACCCACAAAATCAGTCCAGGGGCCGCATATCAATAAAGTACGAGTCTAAGTCTCATATAGTTGACTGCACTTTGGACAGAACTGATGTAAATTCAGTCAGGTGAAGAGTATTTTTTTTGTGTGGATATGAACTTAATAAAGGAGATTGTGTGTTGATTTATTTTTTGATTTGTTAATTCTTTCTTTCTGGTGTCATTTTTTGGTTTGCTTCATAACTGTCTTTGGGGTAATTGCTGTAGATTTCTAAAGGATTTGAAGACAGCAAACCTTGTCCGACAACACAGGCTGTTATTGTTATAACATTTTTGATACCAGAAGGAACTCTGAAGCTTATTTGAAGCTTTCCAAGATCTCTTCACCACTGACCTTTAATTCACTCAGTGTAACTGAATTAGATGGCCCCACTTACCATTTTCCACATTTAATTTGGGCTCTATGTGGTGGATTGCATTGCTCCTTCACGACAACAGTTTTCTGGAGTCTTTTTCTGGTCATTTCTTTGCAGGTTATTGATCCAACCTGAAAGATGTCCACAACTGTTAAGATTATTTCCAACGAAGTAATTTAGGTCAGCCTCTCTCTGGAGGCAATGGAATAAGTTTAACTTATTTAAAACTTTATGTGGCCTACTGCACAAAGACAAAACATCTGAAACTTTCCTAAGGGTTCTGGTAATACAAATATATACATATTTTTTATACTTCTTTTAATCAAAATGGAACACTGACCTTATATTAAATGAACTGGTTAAACAAAATAAAGCCAAACAATTCATGCTCTAGAAACATTTTAAACACATTTTGACAGGAAAATCCAACTCAATTAGAGGAAAACTCCTAATGTGTTTTTGCTTCATTCGACTTCCAGACAGCTTTAACCCCCAGTAATTGGCAGCTGTGTGAGCTGCTGATTAGCTCTGACTGAGCAAGAACTTCTGCTTTTCTGTCTATGTTGCAATAAATGCAAACTTTTTCTGTTACTGAGTAATATGTTTTTTGGGGGTAAACATCTTGGCAGGTAGTCCAGTTCTTGTTGTATAAGATGTTGCAGAAATATTCACACACAAAAAACTAGTTGATTACAGGAAGTAAAAATACTCTTATTATAAATAGTGAAGAAATTTTTTTTAAGTGTGTGAGGTGTGCTTAAATCTAAATGTGCTCCTGGGAACTTAAAAATGTTAAAGGTCATTTTTTTGTTTCTCTAAAACAAGCAGTTCTTGTTATTTTCAGGGAATATTATGCAAACAGAAATGGATTTTCTCAGTATGTTTCCAGCGTCTTTGTAAAATATCGATGTGCTGCTGCTTCTGGACATGGTAGGATACATTTTAATTAAAAAGTTTAGCACAGCCTAAACCTTTTAGCCTCTCTGATGGGGCCTCAGGTTACTTTAATTTGCAGTAATTTAATAAATATGATAGAAAATGCAGAAAAAGGTACTCTCCTCCTGTTGAGAACATGCGCATAAAGAACATCTCAAAGAGAAAACAAAATAAATTTCTTGTCATTCAGAGCAAACAATGTATGAGATGAAAATATGTCAGCAAGGATATAAAAAGAGGATGTTCGGTAATAAGGAAAGGCAGGTAGAAAACTAAAAAACTGTGACCAGGCTGCAACGAACCTTTATATTTACTTACAGAGGCAATCTGGGGTTGAACAAGCTTATTTTGATATTTATCTCCTGAAATTTAACAAGTTATTGGTGGTATATTTTATTAAACTACCTCCAGTGAGAGAATTGCAACAATTGCATCAAACTAAAGTAAATATTGCATCAACTGAAAGTAAAACTTCCCTAATAATAATAAATGTTCCATCAGATAAAGCATATAGTTTTTAGCCACTAGAAGGATCAAGACCTCATTTCTACAGTTTTTACACAAGCAGTAGCAAAAAGTACTCTGGGATCTAATGAAAGTCTTGTTCATCGACACAATGCATCAGCACTCATTTATTTGTTTTAATATGTAGACAAAATATCAAAATATTAATATCAACTTGCACTGTGTTGAATGTTATGCCTTTTTTCGTTCTGCACTATATGTAGCAGCTCAGGCTAACAAAGTGGTGTTAGCAGGCTAATAAATTGAACTACTGTCATTTTAATAGATAGAATAAGCTAAACGTGAAGACTGTCTCAAAACTTGCTCTCTACCATTATTATAACTGTATGGGTTTCCTGTGGCTCTTTAGCTAAAGGCACTTTGGCCTTTGCTTCAAGCTCCATGTCAAGTATCTCTAATCCTCTCATTTTTTTTCAGGGACTTTTGTTGTTTTTGTCTTTATATTTACTTCTGTCTATTAAAATCAAAAGCCAAGATAGGAAAAGTCCCACCTGAAGTTTGTCCGTAACAGATTGGTGTTTTTTTTTTTTGACTTTCCAGCCAAATTAAGGCTGTACATTTGCTGCACATGATGGCACTCACACTCACATGACTGATGTATTTACTACTACTAAAACAGAAGTGGGGAGGGAGGGGGTTTAATGTCTCAATAACACTCTCTTCTCTCCTCCTTCTTCCCTGGGTCTCGCTTTCCTGCCCTCAGTTAACAGAACAGCCTTCCACTTGTTAAGTCATACTCACTGGATCTTGGACTTATTGCTCAGCTATGCAATAGAGAGGAGGATTAGCTGAGCACCAGAGCAAGGACCTGGACTTTTGCCGTTTCTTTGATTATTTTTAACAACGATTCTTCTTCGTCTTCTTCACTTGTGTTCCTACATCTGTGTAACTTCTCTCCACAATGACCATGTTATCAGAGGACCAGCCTGCAAGGCCCCAACCCTGCAATCTCCCGGAACCGGGGAAACACGTCACCACATCTTTGCAGCAGTACACCACAGACTACCCTGGCTCCAAAGAGGACTACATGACCAGTGGAGAGAGCGCCGTGTTTGGGATTGTGGAGCCCCCCAGACGTTCTCGGGGTCGCCTTATCCTGCACAGCCTCGTGATGTTTGGTCGGGAGTTTTGCTACGCTGTTGAGGCAGCCTTTGTGACTCCGGTGCTGCTGAGCGTGGGCCTGCCTCGCAGTCTGTACAGTCTCGTGTGGTTGATCAGCCCCATCCTAGGGTTCCTGCTGCAACCTGTTATCGGCTCGGCCAGCGACTACTGTCGCTCCCCTTGGGGGCGGCGGAGGCCTTACATCCTGGTCCTTGGCATCATGATGCTGATAGGGATAAGCATGTTCCTCAATGGAGATGCTTTCATTTCAGGTGAGAGATGGTGATGTCTGGTACATTTGAATTCTTTTCCAGAGTAAAAATGGAGTCATTTGGAATTTGCCATTTTATTTAATGTTACATGTTAACATTAAATAAAAACAATGCATTTCTCTCAGTTTAAGTGCTACTGGAACAATTAGAAGCTTATCACGGTCATTAATCTGACTCGAACTGTAAGAAGTATTAATGACTAATTATTATCCACAACTTTTACATTTCATGTGTTCAATAAACATATTCCAACCCCGGGGGGGAACATGAACGGGCTTCTTGAAGTATTTCTTAATGGAATCTTGGAAAATCCGACTTTGCAGCAACAAAACAAAAACAAAACATAGATGATCATATGAGGTTGAAACGCCTGAGAAAACATGCCCATGGTTATTTCATCTCATAGAAAATTTGATGATATTCATTTACACAGAAACTGATACATTATTTTAAAAAAGTGGAACAAAGCAGAACTAATCCAAACCAAAGTAACAACACGTGGCGAACTGTGAAAATTTGACTTTTTCTTCCTTTTCTTCACTGGGAACATCAACTTTTACTTGTTGATAATATTCTTTCATAAATCTGTCAATTATATCTCTTTTTTTTTTTTACCCAGACTTTTTCTTCTAACTATTGACGCTTTGAGAAAAAAAAACATTTTGCTCACTTAAACTTAAATATTCGAGCAAAAAACACTCCTGTTTTAAAATTGAATCTGTAGCTATAGGAGCTCAGCTGGTGTCCCCTGGAATGTATGATAAGAAAATATCATTTAGTGTGAAGGCGCAAAACCAAAAAGGTTTTCTGGGAATCAGCAAGGCTCCAGGCAGCATCACGAGAAGATCGCCACACGTAACTGGTGACCTTAATTTTATAGAAAAGGAGGATAAATTGTATTTTCTCGAAAGGCTGTCTACATAAACTGTTTTACTGAGAATGCCACTTATGTTTCTGTGGGACAGCTCTGCTTTATGACTACCACAAGATCAGAGAGGACTGAACTGTATAGTTCAAACATTGTCCCAGCACCAGAGAGAAATACATAAAATCCTCATGTCTAAATTGATTTTAATCCTAAATTGTTTTTGTTAACATTGTGTAGTATGAAACTAACAAAGCCACAGATGTCTAACATCTCTGGGTAAAATGATCCCCACCCATTGAGAAATACATTGTAAAAGCTGGATATAGCTTTTAAAAATATCTCCAAGACCATTTAGTGTTTAAATTATTATTCACAAATAAAATAGAAGATATATATATAATAAATGCTTGTTATAATAGAACAAGTAATACTTGTACCTATTTTCTATTGGAAATAGGTACAATTTCTTATGTTGTTTGGGTAAGCTCATTAAATCTGCGTGTTTCTCTCAGTTGTAGAAAATGCCATCATAATTGTCACCATTTCTTTCCCACTGATTAGAACAAAGAAGAAAAAAAAACTGGTTTGTCATTTCTGTTGCACGTGTCTTTTCAGGTCTTAATGGACTTTGTTGCTTTTTATGTAGAACAGAAATACCTGACAGCACTCAGTTTAATTATCACAGGTCTACATCCTGTTGATGTCTTTCACCTTGATCTTGTTTGATTAAGAAAGAAGAAACTTTCATTCACTTGTTTTCTGAAAAGGTAACTAAAGTAGGATGTAATTGTTGCCTTTCAGACTCTCTCGTGTTCTATTCCTTTAATACGCAACAAGGTCCAAGCTTCAGTTGGAGGGTTTTGTTTGTTTTCCTCCTTGTGTTGGTCGTACTCGAAGCGATCTCGAAAGCCCAGATTTTCTCTTTATTTTGAACATTTCTTTATTGAAGGGCTCCGACCAAAGCTTCGCACGAAGCTTCAGGGAGTTCAAGGAAAATTTAATAGGCAGCACAAAGCAAAGACAATCAAATCACTTTACCTCTTAAAGCATTTATTGAATTAGGAAAGTTAGAGATTGAAGTGAAACATTTATGTCTCCTCATTGAACATTCCTCTCCAAATCAATTTACGGTCCCTTTTCCATATAGCAGTTCCCATGGTCACAGACCTTGTTCGGTTTGCTGCCCTAAAAAGACACGCTCTCTAAATAAATAACAAAGGAATAAATTTGTGAAGCAATGATGAGGCTATTTAAAACATTTCTGATTGCAGAGTGTTAAACACTGAGCCCTGGTCAGCTGTAACCCTACATTCACTCTCACCACTGTGTGCCAGCTTCTCTTTTCTGTTGTGCTTTCATTCAAATGTGTTTGTCCACAAGAAAGAGAGTCAAGATTTACAAGCAGTGTTTTTTTAAAGAGAGAATGATTCAGTCCATGTTTTTTTTTTTTGAGTTCTTCTCAAAATGAAATGTTATGCTTGTCCAAATCTAATCCCGTCCAATGCCAAAGACGCATTAAGAACATTGTTGTTCTTTTGTTTGTTTTTTTCAAAAACAGAATAAAAGTTTCAAAAATCTCAAACGACTGTTTAAAAATAATTTTCGCTCATTATTAACAAAGTGGTACCCTGTTCAGACTTTCTATAAATTATCTAAACTGGTTCCATACAAACAAACCTTTTATAGTTTAAAATACGTGTAATGTAATACAAGTTTAGTTAGGTGGCCGAACCACGAGCATCATTTAATTATGTATTTGTTGATATGTTAATTTTTGCAGAGCTGTGATATTGCTTCCAAACCAGAGTGTCTAATTTGTAATATTTTATAGGAAATGCAGCAATAATATGAAACCACAAGTAACTGAGATGTAGGAGAGGACATGAGAGAAATTGTTGCATTTTTATCGAGCATGGAGTGAACACAAGTAAAAGTGACAAGAGAACAGGACAGCTCCCACTCCTAAGTTGTAATTGACTTTAAGTAAACACACGTTGCTCCACTTTCTTGCATTATTTTTATTCCTTTGGGTTGAAGTTTTTCTTTTTCCATTTATCTTCACAGCAGAATGAGCAAGAATAAAAATGCTTCCTTCGTGCACTCGTGGCATTTTGACTAGTATTTTCAGTCAGCAGGTGTCTTTGAAGACAAGATGCATCAAATTTACAAAAGTAGGAAGAATTCAAGTGTTTTCTTCATCATAAGCAGAGAAGATGAAACTTGGCAGCCCTGTGGGTGGAACTTGGAAACCGTACTAAAATTTCTCACCGCAGGCGGTCCTTACTCATCTTAACTATGACCAAAGCAGTTTACCAAGAGCAGCAGGAGTTGCAGTGGAGTCGCAGACAAGCAGAAAATAACTTAAGACAGTCTTTGTTGTTCCTTTTTATTTGATAATTTGCAAATAATATGTGTTTTATGGTCACTGGTGCTGTTTGTGTTGCAACTATGTTCTTGTTTTATACACCGATATTGGGAGTTAAAAGGAACTGACTAAAAGTATTGATTAGAACCCAAATGGTGCTCAAGGCAAGTAAAGACAATAATCACTGATGATGTTTGCATAGCCCAAAAACTGTCAAATAATTGAAATTGATACTTTAGCTTTATAAATTTGTTAGTAACTGATCAATCATTCAAGCAATATTTATCATACCACATCTTACTTACATAGCAAAAACTCAAACAATTAGAGATTTTAAAAACAGAAAATGAATTGTATAATAGACTCTAAGTTGAATTGTAAGCCAATGCAATGAAGCAAGCACTATTATGCTCATATGTTTTAATTCCAGTTAGAAATCGGGCGTCAGCTGTTTGTGCCATTTGCAGGCGTGACAGAGCAAAGTAATCCAAGTGGAAGGTTGTAAACCTGTAATTGGGAAATAAACCAAAGGCATTTGGACAGATCTTTAAGGTGATGGTAAAAGAATTTCACCAATCTATTTGCGGGACTGTCAAACTTTTTCCCCTTAGACATGTCTTCAAATTAGGGATCGGGGCAGCGGGATCAACAAATCATGTTTTGGAAGAATGACAGAATGAATACAATTTCTCTGCAGTTTAATTTAAAACAAAAATGTCATGTGATTGCACTTGAAATTTTGTAGACTTCATTTGTAGTTCTGTGTTATGATATGGTTGTGCTAATATGTGTGTGAATCTGTTTTCTTGTTTCTTGCAGCGCTGGTCAGTGACAGGTCATTGAAGAGCATCTGGGCCATCGTCGTGGTGATGTTCGGGGTCGTGCTGTTTGACTTCGCTGCTGATTTTATTGACGGCCCTATCAAGGCCTACCTGTTTGATGTGTGCTCACATTCAGACAAGGAGAGAGGTCTGCACTACCATGCTCTGTTCACAGGTATCCCACATCTTCGCACATGCAGTTTCTTGTCTTAGTGTGTGCCTCACAGCTTCCTTTGGGGATTTTCACTTGATCTATTCTGTTTCCGAGGAAGTATTTTTGCAACATTTGCTTGTTCCAGTTTGTTCTGTGAGATATTCTTGGGTTATTTTAGCCTCCTGAATTACTCATGCAGCTCCGGTGGCTATTGGGCTACGTGAGCATTCGTGGCAGTGATTCAGGAGAACTTGCTTTTGACTTCTGCTGAGAATGGGCAGAGCTGCAGGGACTAATGACACTTTTGTTTAGCAAATGGAGCTAAAATGTAAAAACAGAAATGGAATGTCAAGCTGTGGCTGAGCTTTTTAGCTGACTTCGTGGACGGCAACAAATGGCACGAGTCATTAAACGGGCATTTGAGAAATTACAGTTTTTGCTAAATGACAATATAACCACTCTTTCTGCCCATTAAATGTTATCAAAAAATGATTCAAGGTTGATCCAAGAGGTTGTTGCTACTCTGACTGGAGGGAAATTAAATGATCCAAACATTTTGCTTAAATAAAGTATCACGCGTGTTGCTCATATTTTAGATCTTGACAATGGAGCATCAGAAGCCACTCCCTCTATTCATTGTCCATAAATCTGATTCTGCTTACTCTTTTCTCAGACCATCTCTGCCTTTGAGAGAGTTTTAGGTGCAGATTAAAGTCTTAAAGTCTTCTTTTTCGTTGCATACTTTTTGAAAACAAGCCCCGACTTCTTGTTGTTGTCGTCCACACAGTCACACAGACCCATGTTTTGGTTGGATTCTTTGTGAATCTCTGCACATTTCTCTCAGGTCGTGAGCACGATGGGCTTGAATGAATAGTTTCCTGCTTTCTTCTGTCAGTTAGAGAAAAGTATGCGTCATTTCAGGTAAACACAGCCACACACTCACTGCAAAGGTTCTTGGAAACACTCTGAACCACGTGAGGTAACAGGGAAGCAGGTTTAATTGGATTTCCTGCAGATTTCCACTTATTTCCAGATGTCTTGCGTTTTTCTCTAAAGATTTGCAGTCCCTTTAAGTGTGCTTAATCTGAGGTAACTTGAGCTGCAGTTGCATTCACCCCTTTCGTATCCTGGATGCTTTCACTTTTCACCTTATGCTACTTGGGTACACATTTGAAGGGAAAATGAGGTTTTACATATTTATTCTCGGAAATACGTCTGTGATTTGGCTATCTTAGACCTTTAAAGTATCAACTCAAATTTTAAGAAAATTACTCCGAGACATTTTTCTTCAATTTCTGACAGTAGGATGGGGGGCAGTGACATTTAATTTAACCTCATTTCATTACACTGTGCAGCAAGTTTAGGGGCACATTTCCAGCTAAAATTAAACTCATAACCTTTGCTTTAAATGTGGTAAATATTATAGTGACGATTTGGTAAAGTGTCGAAACCCCAGTGGGGTTTGAAATTAGTAGTCTGGAAGACAAGAAAAAAAAGTATTATAGATTACTTTTTTGTCAGTCATTTGCAAAAGTGTGAATATCCTTGAGTTTTCTTTATTTTTAAAATGCGATACAATTCCAACATTGTATCGTATTGAAAGGATTGAGTTGAAAGGATTTTACATCATGGGCTAAAAGAAAATCTGGGGAAATATGAGCTGAAAAAAAAAAACGAGAAAAAAATTATATAAATCTGAAGAGTACTGTTTGGAAAATATATTTTGCTACACAAAAAATTGATAATAACCTTTCACCACTGGTATAGATGGTAGTTTGCATGACTAGGAGACTTGTTTCCATTCATCATTGCAAAATAGTTCAAGCTCAGTGAAATTGAAAAGAAAACATCAGTCTTGCCACAAATTTGTTGGTGGATTTCGGACTAGGCTTTGACTAGACCGTTCTGTCAATGTAGCTCTGGATGTATATTAAGGTTGGTTGTGCTGCTGGAAGTTGTCCTGTGTTTAGTTTGAACTAAATAATGAAAGAATCTTTATGCTACCCCCATGTTGTAAAAAACAGTAAGCTATATTCTGATCCAAACTCAGTCACATTTTTGCTGTTTTCTGAACAGCAAATCACTTTGGTTGAAATAAGACAAGTATGCAGCAGGGATTAAAGACCCAGGAAACGGCATGATTCATCCTCAAAATACGTCCTCGAGACAGAACCCATTTTGTCATTTCACATAAATCTGTGAAGCACCACAACATCAAAAATACTTCCCGAGTGAGACCTCCGAAAACCTGCGTAAAAGTAAAACAAGATCAAGCAAATACCAGAGGGGGTAGCTATGGGGTGAGATGATGTGTTTGGTATGAGCATCAGTGGCGCAATCAGCTGCCAGCAAGCACCGGCTGGCATTGAGCATGCGAGTCTGGCAGTAATCCGGCCCTGAGCTCATCATGTGCTGCAGTCATGGGTCTGTGCTGAGAGAAACACGGGCCAGGCACATGACTCTCGAGACCCCACCATGCCACTGCTGGAATGTGAGGCTTTAGGAAGAAAGGCCCCAAATTTTGAGCTTCTCTGTTTTGTTTTGGTTTCTTTCTTCTTCTTTTTTTCTTATCCCATCCTTGCTCATATTAGGGTGGCGCTGCTGTGCTGGAGTAGGCAGCCATTTTTTAAATAACATTTGTAGATGGAGTCCTAGCAACACCAGCAATCAAAACAGACAGTTTGGGTGTCAACAAATCTCCATCACATAACAGAAGGTAAGCAGGTGTGAATGCATGAATATGATGGTATTGTGATTTGGCAAATTGATTGATCACTGATACATTCGGGTACAGTGTAAAACAAACTTTAAGAAATTTGGAAATTAGTGCAAATCTGGAGTAAAGCTACCTGGAGTAAAGCTACCTGATAGCAATCGTTTTTACCCAGTTCGGTCACTATTACTGGTCACAAAAGGTTATTTACTTAGGAAGTAATATACCCACTCTTAAAAATACAATGACAAACATTGAACATAGCTGAAATAAATTAGAGGATAAATGATCCTGTCAGAGGAGTCGAACACATTAGCTAAATACACACAGAGGAAGGGGATGTAATTGGAAACAGGTGCATCTAATTAGACATGAGTGGAAGCTTAGACAACTGAAGTGGGTCACATCAAGGCCCAAGAAACACATGCTTCTTTCTCTGTTATATTCAGTACAATATAAAAAAGATGTGCACAGCAATATGGATCTCGTTAACATGCTCAAATCCCTCAAGTGGAACAGCTCATAAAAACACTATCTTTTCAGTGAGATTGTGATATTTGGGGATTTGATTGCTGGTGTCACTTTGAAATATTTGTATTTTATTGCCTGGTGTGGCCTTATGACCTTTGCTGATGAACAGCAGCATGTACTGCCATGGACAAAAGTTTAAGAATGACAAAGATGTTATTTTTCCCAAACTTTAATGCTTCAAGTTTGGTAGATGTTTTGTGAGATCTGGAGCAAAAATAAGACCTAATGGATAGTTTTTAACATCTCAAATACTTTTGATTAAAAAATATCTTCTGTTCATGTAAAGTGTAGGTGTGTTCTCGAGACTTCTTCTGGGCCCACTATTAAATAATTGACCAAATCCATACTGATAGAGACCCGTTCTTTCTATAGTCCACTGAAGTATATTGCTATGTTTCAACGTTTTGTATTTTATTCATTGATTTTTTGGGGATTGATCACAGAACAAAGTGTACTGGCCACAGACCAATTGTTTCAATGTTTTGATCGCTTTTGTCATTCACTGCATTATAAATTATGTTGAGTTAAATGTCCCAAAAGAGGACTCAATCCCCGTATGACAGCCTCATCTCTCAGACTGTATATTTTGAGAGAGCACTCAGGATATGAGAGGAGCTTTGAATTGGGAAAAATATATAATGGATATTACCTGACTGAAGATTCCCTGCAAAAAATAAAAAATAAAAAATTCTTCAGAATGTTATTAACTCTTTTCTTTTTTTCGGAGGTTGCCTTTAGATGTTTTTTTTTTTTTTACGGATATATGTGAGCCGTTTGATCACGTTTTCAATCAGTCTTCTTGCAACCATATTTTATTGCTTTTCCACTTCTATGTAATTGCTTTTTGACACGTATAGAATTTCTTCTGGGCTCAATGAAATATTTCCTCTTTCATACGTATGCTGCTTTTTCTAACTTTTCCAGCATCCTCAAAGGCCCCAATATTCTCTGTTGTGGAGTGCATCAGGGGACAAAAAGCTCCCAGCTTCTGCTGAAAGGAACAAAACTTATGTCAATGATCCAGAACATAAACAGAGAGCATGAAGTTGAGAGGATTTCAATCATCCAGTCAAGCAGAAGAAACTAAAGCCTTAAACCTGAAGTGGTTAATACTAAACCTGCCTGTTTCTTAAATGTGGAAAAATGGCCTCATTTCATGTGGACTGGCTGGAGAAGACTGCACTTCAAAGTGTTTCAAACCAGTCATTTGAATCAGACAGCCAATCAGAACAAGTTTGTCACATAATTCACTCTGTGCATAGTGCAGGTATGTGAAGTGTTTTTCTCTATGCTTAAGTGAACATTACATAAATGTTCCTTCAGTAAGGCAGCATACATTAAAAAAACAACAAAGGTGTTGACTTCAGAGCTCAGCGCTAATTATACAGCTATAGAAGCTTCCTGTTTAATTCTTGTTACCATAAAAAGTCAGCTGCTTTGTTCTGAAATGCTCGTTAAGCTTATTGTCTCAGACCTTTTTGTTACTTCTCGGTCTGTTTCTGCAGGAAAGACATTGGGAAGAGTTAATAAAGAAAGAGTTATAGTAGGGCCTGATGTGACATTAATAACTCGCATGACAGGTGTCAGGGGTATTTTCAGCTCAGTCACTGCAGTCTTTAGTTATCAATGTTAACCAGAATGCCTGTGTTTTCTGATCCAGAACAATCACCACAATGCAGCAAGTGTTCACGTATGGAACGGCTGTACACAAAATATTCACCCCTCATTTTGAACCTACATCAATGTAACAAGCCAGGATGTGCAGTTTATCTTTTGCTGCTGTTAATTAGTTTCCAAAATTATTAAAAATGTTAAAATAGGGTAAAATCTGACTTTTTTTCTTCCATCTATAAATCATTTGAATATTCTTTATTCCACCCCATGTCCTTTTTCTTTTTGGGGGAGAGGGGGTGGTTCTGCATTGAAAGACATAAACAAGTTGTGCTGGTTTGATTTGCCTTTCAAGAACTTACAGCTTTCAATGTTTCTCATCATAGCATTAATGAAGTTTCTTCTGATCTGTCGAAGCTTATAGCCTGAAGCAAGCAGAAGTCGAGAGATAATTATACAAAGTTGCAGGGGAAAAAAAACTGAGACCGTTTTATACTACTTCTTTTTTACCAATAAGAATGAGTCACCTGCCACTCAAGACATTTTTAAAAACCATAGGTGTGAACATATAACAGCCTATATAACATATAAGCGAAAGGGGTTTTTTTTATTTTTATTTTTTTACTTTCTCACAAAGTTTGACTGTGGATCAGAACTACAGAGTAACTCGGTTGTGATATGATCAACTGTCTCCATAATTTATGAGAACACTTCATTATAGAAAAAAGCTGATGCACAGTGATTTAATGGTAAGAACGTTAGAAGGGATTGAAATGGCAACATTTGGTAATGAAATGGGGATGCAGATTAGTGAATGTGTGAACGGATCCACATACCAATTGCTCACATACCAATTGCTCACATCCAAACACAGTTTTGGGTTGGAAAGACTTCGAAAGACATTTTCCAAAGTGGACAGTGTATGAGGGACAAAAATGTAGATTTTTTTTTAAGAACAATAAACTTTTATCCACTTAATGTCATTTGTTTTGAGAGAAAAACTGAAACAGCAGTGCAACTTTTGTGTTTTTAAATCTGCCTCCCTAAATACAGCATCTCTAAAGTCTTAATTCAAACTCTGGCAATGAAAAGGTAAATGGTAGCAATGGAAAAGTTTCCTGCTGTGGCTTTTCTATTCTTCTATCCTGATATTTGCTTTACATATGGTTGTGTGTGAGTGTGTGTGTTTTTTTATTATTATTTCTGATGTCATTATCCTTGACCTTGTCGCCTCCTACTGGCACAATGTTGGGTACCATAATGCTTTTGATCTGAATCATAAAAACCATACAGTTGCATTGCTTTGCAGTGCAGATGCTAGTTTAAAAGAAGTCCCGTAGATTAGACACTATAGCTGGTACCAAAGTAAGAAATGTAAAGCCTTTTCGTACTCCGTAGCATCCTTATCAGTCCAGAGTTACTAACAGCAGTACAACCTGCTAAGCAGACCTGAGTTTATGAGTCATATTTGTTTGCTAGTCTGCTAAACAGTTACAAATATGTGGATGAAAGAACGTAGCATCCCATCTGGGATTCAGAAAATCAAACGTGCTTCTGATGGAATGCTCACAAAAAATATGTGAATTTATTTCTTAACACAGCTTCAGGTGACGGCTGCGCAGGATAAATCATGAAGATGCATTCCTTTGATTAGTGATTTGTATGCTGTCAAAGTGAATCAGCACATATTCCTGGAAGTCATCACTTGTTTGTTTGTATTATCCAGGTAAAGATGAGCCATTCACAGTTTCACTTTACGTAGACCTACATGGCCTGATCTTTGAGACAATAAATATGTTCCGGGCAGGATGAACAAATATGATCCTGCAGATCATGGAGCTCCCGATCTGTACTGCGTCTGGGCTGACAGAAAAAGACTGGGACTCGGGATGCTGCTCACTATCAACAACAAGAAATGGACAGATACAAATGCTATGCACATACAGTAATTATAAAGGGCTGTTAACGTTTAAAACTTAGCCAGCAGCAATGTGGAGTATGAAGCTAACCTTCTAATAAAATATTAGTAAATGCAATAAACTTCAAAAGTTTATTATTCAAAAAGACAAAAGATTTAGAAAGAGGAATTGTTTTTGTGATATGCTTGCGATAACACCAACTTAAAGGCATAATGTTTTTCTTCTTACCTGATGAGGCACTCAGCTTTATTTTTATGTCATAGTGAGGAGGAGACATATCTCTAGTTGATGCCACTAATATGAGTCTATCCTCACTAACATGAATGTAACTGGCTATCCATCGTGAATCTGTGTTAGTGCTGTAGCACCTTGAAATGTTTTGTTGCCTCATTTCCCTGGCTCACGTCAGAATCATCAATTATTCTTATTTCTATCCCTGTGTTTTTCAGGACTGGGCGGAGCTTGTGGCTACCTGGTGGGAGCGATGGACTGGGGCCACTCTGTTCTCGGTCGTCTTTTGGGCTCCGAGTACCAAGTCATCTACTTCTTCTCGGCACTCACATGGGGCTTCTTCCTCACCGTGCACCTGTTTAGCATTCCAGAACAATCTCTGTGCAAGGGCCCCTCAGTGTCTGACTGCTCCTCTCCCAGTGCCCTCCGCTTACTGGGCTCCCACAGCAATGGTTACGGAGCACTCAGTAAGGAGCCCAGCTCTACTGCAGCCCCCACATCTGTTTCAGACGTCAGGCCAAGATCCTATTCAGCTTTGGGCGAAAGGCCGCGTTCATTCTCAGCTCTGGGAGAAGCTAACGCAGTGACATCCAGTTCCAAGCAGCCAAACAAGGTTTGTCATCTGTGGGTTCCAGCTAAATCCATCATTTAAAGCAGTTTGAATATACATTGGAGTTTGGATTGTGTTGTTGTTATTGTTATTGCCATGGGGAACGCGGCCTTAGCTATCCTAAGAAAACTTCTGAATCATCTACAATGAGTAATTTATGCACTAAGGTCACGACGAATGAGTTCTTTTTTTTATGCTCACACTGTTTGAGCTTTTCTGCTTTTCTGCTTAATACCAGCACGCACTCAAAGCAACTGAGTTTCAGAAGTTTGGGCACAACTTGCAAGCTGTGATTTGAAACTGAGAAAGCAGACTAGCACTTTCAACTTTGTATTCTTGAAAGCGTGTTTACATAATTTAAAGCTGGTTTCTAATTATTAATTAATATTTTTGAAAAATGAAGAACAGACAAAAGTTGGGAAACTATCATTTTTCTAAATCTCTTATTCACTGTCTCTATCTGAAACCCGCAGTATTCTGTATATGATGAAACATTTTTATGCGACAGACAGAATGCGTCAGTCATGTATTCACATTAAAATTGACTTATTTTTGCAGAATAACCTGCTGCTTCGTGGTATGTTAGGTCAGCATGAATATCTTGACTGGATCATTATTTTGATTTGAGAAAAAGAAGACTCACAAATTTACATTACATTTTAAGAAGAAATCTATAATATCCATCTTTCCTGACAGTAGTTGTAATGTTATTGATATTTAACTTGTTTTTACAACTGTATTTGATGCGAACCAGCACACTCCTCTCTGAACTTTCTGACCCAACACCCTCTACCCTTGCTACATTGTAACTTGACCTTCATTCCGCTAAAACGTATTTTCCTCTCTGAGTGCTTTCTTAGCCGTCAAATCTTTGAAATCTTACCAGAACGACAATTGGTCAAATGTGACTGCAAGTCTTCGAAGAGGTTAGAACTGATCTTGGCTCTTTGCTTCCACAGGAGCAGAAGAAGATGACATTCAGGTCCCTGATGAAAGCTATAATCCACATGCCAAACCACTACCGTTGCCTGTGCATCAGCCACCTGCTGGGATGGGCGGCTTTTCTCTGCAACATGCTCTTCTTTACTGATTTCATGGGGCAGGTAATCATTAGTTTGGTTTTGCATGTGAGCTTTCCTTCCTGGAATTTGATAAATAATAGCAATTTTGGAGAAGTAAAAATCTAAACTCTTTTAATATATATATATGTATATATATATATATAATTTTTTATAAAATAATGGCTACGAAGGGGAGAATAAAATAATTTTTGCAGCCATGCACAATCCAGATTTTCTGTGTGAAAGTTGATAGAAACTGATGGGTTTAAAAATTAATTTAGAGAATCCACAAAAGTTTGTGAAGCTTTCTAGAAGGAAATCGTATTTTCTTGGATTGAATGAACAATAGAGAGAAAGATGTTCAGCAGAGAACATGTAGATTAAATATGATTGAATAAGAAACATTAGAATCATATTTGAAAATCTCACAATTAAAGAAAAGATCCAAGGGATTAGAAACTGATGTTTAAATAACGCAAGCTGTCCTGGTGTATCATATAAGATCATCATTTTTTTCTGTTTTGTTTATTTGAATTTATTAATAAAACATTTTAACAACAGCAGATCATACATTTTTTTTTACATCTTTTGTTGATGTGTAAATATGATAAAAATAATATTGATGAAATATTTTGCTGTTTTTATATTTGTCAGATAATTCAAACCAATCCTTTTGCCACCATCTGCCTGCTCAGAGAAATACATGTTAATGAGCTGAAATAGATCAAAATGTTTCAACGTCGTGCTCTATTTCTCCTCATAAATTGGTTGCTCTCACTTTGCTCCCTTGTCTTCATATAACGCTGATTATTTGCAGCTTATTTTAATTAGCATGATGATTGCACAGTGGCAAAGTGTGAGGGCCATCAGCATATTAAGAAAAAGCCATCATTATGTAATAATAATGAAAAAAGGTTAGAATTTAATTTCAATACCATTTGTATAATTAAATAAACCCACCAATATGATGCCATTATCCTTGAACAATGTATCACCAGTTACTCTGATATTCATATGCAAGCTGTGCAAGTAAATCAGTGTACCCGAAGGAAGCAATCAAACAACACTGAGTGGTCAAAGATGAAATATTTTAATGTACGTTTTTTTTATGACTGATAACAACACAACAGTATAGCTTTTAAATCTTTTTTCTTTTAGTGTTGAAAGTTTATCAGAATGAGTTACCCACACATCAGTACATTTATAAATGACTAGAAGCCCTAAGACATTGGGTGGTAAATTACTAACAGCAAGACCAAGAGCTCAAAAACAGCCACGAGGCAGTAAGATGAGTTGTGCTCAAACATGTAATTTGCTTTTTTTCTTCTGAACACATAACCATTACTTGGAGCTTTATTTGTAATTTTGTGTGCTAAATCACACGTACTGTTCAGCTTGTGTTCTCACTGGAAGAATACTGAAAATGCAGAGAGCAGACCAGTTTGGGAGTGAAGCTGTCAGTCTGAATATAATAGTCTGTCACTGTGGAGTCTCTGATGATCTCAGCTGTTGCAGGGAAAGGTTTGGAAAAGTACCAGGAGAAAAATGAGACAGATGTGGGCTGATATCATTGACTCAATCACCCAACAATCAATCTAATCTAGAGCCTGTTTGCTAATTACGTTGCCATATGTATGTACATTTCACCACATCCTTCTTCCATGCCAAAGGGGTTTAATGTTCCACATTTTCTCCATCATGTTTTTTTTACATTTTCATTTGCCAGTTCTATTTATGTTCTCACTCCCACCTCAGCGCATATGGATACACGATGAATGCCCCTGGCCTCATTCTTCACTGTGATAGACTGATACAGAATTTCATTAACATCTTAATTAGACTATAAAAGATCTCCATGAAATGTTTTTACCGAGGTGATGTTCTGCCTGCGGGATTTGCCACGAGGTAACCTAGCAAAAAAAATAAAAGCCTTTTTTTACAGAGAATAATGTCTTACTTTAGTTGTTTTGCAACCAAAAAAAAAAAGTATCTTCAGGCAAGGAATGTTAACAATACACAGCTTTATTTAAAAAGCCAAACTTCTGTAATAAATGCCAACAATCTATTACAGAATAGATTATGTAATGGATTTTTTTTTTTTTTTTTTAGAGAGAGAGGGCACCCCACCAAAGAGTGGTGCCCTTTATGTTAAAAAGGTAACTCTTCCTTTGTGTTAAAGGAAGAGTTTTGTGAAGTGAGGTTCTATCTGAAGGTTAAGTACTTGTAGGTATCTCTCCTGTCTGAGGAGCTAACTTGCTTGTCTGAAAGCAGTAAAGATTGAAGTAGGCTTGGAGGAACTCCAAATCAAAAACGGACTATGGGGCTTGATGAACATTTAAACTGTTCATGTTTGTAAGTGGTTATTTGCACAGGAAGTGGAAATAGCTGATAAGCTTCCACCAGTTGTCTTCCTCTGTGAAACTCATACTGAGAACATATGTAAAGGATTTCCAGCAAGCAACAGAGAGAAAGGTATTTGAGGGTAAGTATCAATTACCGTAATTGCACACTCAGTCGGACACAACATTATTCATTAGTAGATGGACTCCTGAAATGGAAGATGCTGTAGCAGATGATTATGAAGCCAAAGATTGGGATGTGCTGTGAATCCAGATGATGAGGATGATGACTCAGTGTCTTACATATTCTCTTCACTTCCTTCCAGATGTGATGAAACTGTATGCAGCTATCCACATTGATCTCTTTAGTCTAGTGTCACATGAACCTTCAAGATATATACTTTTTAAGTTGTTTTATTCTCACACAAGAGATTTTGGTTGTATAAAGATGATTACGAACTGAATCAACTGCATGTAAGAATAATTTTTGATTTATTTGTGTATATCCCATAAAGAAAGTGGTTTCTTTTGAATAAGAGGGATGCTTCTGTCAGACTGTAAAATGCCTTATGATTGAGAAATTGAGAAATTCTAGATTTTATCATTTTTTTGTATGAAACGAGTCTGGATTGGGATGTGCTGTGAATCCAGATGATCCACATAGAGTGTTGTTCAGTGTTCAGAACAAGGTTTTGCATCTGAATTTCTGGCCATCTAGTGTTGGTCCAAGTCAATCAAGCTGAAAATTCAAACAATCCCAATCATCAGTTCACATCACATTTATTACAGAAGTTGGGCATTTTAAATAAAGCTGTGTGTTGTTAACACTCCTACCCTGAAAAGACTTTTTAACACTCTTATTCCTGTTCACACTTCTCTGCTCTCCCTTTTTTTGCAGATTGTTTACAAAGGAAATCCTTATGCAGAACACAACTCTACAGCGTACGCCACATATGAGAGAGGTGTAGAAGTTGGCTGCTGGGGATTGTGTATTAATGCTGTGTCTTCTGCGCTCTACTCGTGTAAGTGGATGTGCAAGGTGTCTCTGTGGCAAAGTTTGTTTCTCATTTGCCACTATCGTGATAGAAATCACCATCTATTAACGTCCAGGTGCATCGGGGGTCAGACGAGGTCACGCACTGAATCAGATAGCAGTGGGAAATCACAGTTTCCAAGTAGCTGCTTCTCATTAGCAGGCTCTGCACCGATCACCTCTGAGGCAAGCTGGGCCATGTGTACTTGAAACAAAAAGTACATCTGAGGAAGGAAAGACCCTTGTGTAAAAGAACAACTCCGAAAGCAGAGGGAGATAATGTCCTTGATCTAAAGGCAAATTACCATATCATGCAGCTATAAAAAAATATGTTTTGCAGCATTCCTACAGCAAATAGATGAATACCTGCATAAATGTCATTATGTGGACTATAAAAGTCAAAGTAGTAAAAACATAATCCACTAATTACCTGGAAACAACACACTTCACGTGCCTTTGCTGTTTTCTAATTACTTGAAGCCATTTGTGTCACATTTGGTTGTGTGTTTTGTTTTTGTTTTGGTTTTTCAGACGTGCAGCGCTTCCTGCTTCCATACATCGGCCTCAAAGGATTATACTTCATGGGCTACTTTGTGTTCGGCATGGGAACCAGCCTAATTGGCCTCTTCCCAGATGTCATTGCCACTCTCATCCTCTGCAGCGTGTTTGGCGTCATGTCCAGCACGCTCTACACAATCCCATTCAACTTAATTGCAGAGTATCAGCGTGAGGAGGAGGTATGTGGCTCTCTTACAGAGCCGAGATGCTTTTAATTAGAAGACAAAATATTCTATGCTTAAATCCGAGATTCTGTTATATAATTCGGAAAGTCTGCAGTGAGTCTGTCAGTGTTTATCCCCTTTTAGTTTCCACCAATCATGAGTTTGTCAGTTCTATTTATAAGTGGCATTATGGACAGTCTTTAAAAAAAAAAAGATCCAGTCATCAACTGGGTTTGAAAATGAGTCTGTGCTTCGAAAACCTTCATACGAAACACTGGTCGCTTTGTTTTCATCACGCAGCATGGTTTACTGTGCTGTCCTAAGCCAGGGAGTCCAGGGCTAAAGATAAATGCACTTAATTCAAGTGTATTTACACTTGAATTAAGTTGAGTTGAGTTACATTGAATTGCTCAATACCGCACATCCCACTTCTTTAGTATTACAGCAATTAGTACGATGTGTTTAGAGACAAAAAAATCAACCACACATCAGTTGCTATATTCTTGTGAACCAATCTTGCTACACTAGTCCACACAAATCTAAAATTACTTTTGAAACAAGCCGTTTATCAGGAACATCTATAAATATTTATAAATGAAGGCTGGAGTGCATTTGAATTTCAACTGGATCATGTTTTATAGATTTATGAGGTTGTTGTATTACACAAGTAAGCACATAATTATGAATAATATACAGACTAAGCACTGTTAGTTTTATTTTTTATTTATAAAAACCCACAACATCTAAATATTCTCAACATCTAAATATTCAATGCAGCAAAGAAAAAAGATCGGTTTTCCATTTGGTTAAAAGTCATTTTGAATGAAAACTATTGCTCGTACAGAGTCATGGTTTTATTAATGTGGGATTTAAAAACAGGTTTTTCTTTTGTTTTTGATTTTTAAACTTAGTGTTTTTGTAAATAATTAGATATTTGCACTTGTTATGTTTTTTTTTAAATTTTGTTTTGAGTTGTGTGTTTGCATAAGGGTGTGAATAATTATAGCAATAAGGAAAAAAAACATTGATTTAATAGTATGAGTTAGTATCATGAGAATTCCTGCATAATTTTTTTATTGCAGTATAATTTTTTTTATTGAAGCCTTATTAAGGATATTAAAAAAGGTCTCCCTATGCCTCCATCAGTCCTGTTTTTGGCAAGTCCATGAATATAGATGAAAATGATTAATACCAGTTCAAAGATATGTGAAAGTGGCTCAAAGGCTTTGGCATAAGGATTATGTTTTAATATTTAAATCATGTGACCCAGATGGTTTCCTTGATGTGCTCCAATGATTATTGCACAAAGCTGAAGCCAGGTCTTCACTTTCAACTCGTGAAAGTGAAGAGCTGCATCATTGTATGTTACGATCAAATAATTTTGCTTATCTAAAAACAAACGTTTGAGTTGAGAAGGAGTTCAAAATATGGGGCTATTTGAAGGGCCATAAAATACATTTAATGGAGCTTTGTTATCATGTCCAGGGCTAAAGCTGCTCACTGGTCCATCTTTTTTGTCACACACATTTCTTGTTTCAGACAAAGTCAAATAATGCTATTTTGCCAGGACTCTTTCTTCCCACTAATCGTCAGTATTACTACTTGCTGTTCTTCCAGGAGCAACCAAAGATACAAGGCGGCTATGAAAGCCCTCGAGGCACCGGCATGGACTGCGCGGCACTTACCTGCATGGTCCAGCTGGCTCAGATCATTGTGGGAGCCGGGCTCGGAGGTCTGGTCATCGCAGCCGGAAGTGTAATTGTGGTTGTCCTGTCAGCCTCCGCTATGTCTTTGATAGGCTGCATTTTCATTGCTCTCTTTATCAGATATGTGGAATAATACTGCCATAAAATACATTTAATGGAGCTTTGTTTATAAATAAATAAATCCTCTGTGTTATATTGTTAGATGGTCTTCTGAAACGGTGTGCTCACTTGTTTTACATTTCCTGTTTGCTGTGCAGACAAAGGCGTAACTACTCTCGTCGCAGGGAGTCCACACTTCTTATTCATGTTTAATTTCTCTTTAATTTCATATCGACTTTCTGACATTAGTCAAAACCATGAAGCACATTGGAAACAAAAAGATAAACGTGCTGCTTTAAGTTCATGTCTCAAACGGGAAATATAACCAAAGCATCTTCATTGTTAGAAATGAGTCCAGTGGAATGGTATTTATGTAAATTAAAGCAAATTTTACCACATTTTCTTGGTAGTCCAGCAGCAGAGTAAATCACAGGACTATGAACCTTCTAAGATTATTTCCAGCATTACCACTTCTCCTTCCTTGTCCCAGTCATGTGACCTACATCACAAACCTTAATTCATTAAAGAAATAAAGGTTTCTTCTTTAGCAGCACTGTTATAAAATAATGTCAAGTCACAAAGCATCTTAGATTTATGAACAAAAATGTGCAACACCGGTTCACAAAGGAAAAGCTCAGGTTACAAAACATCCAAACCGTGTGAATGATAACTTCCTGTGTTTCCATGGAAATATGTAAACATTTAGCCTAGCAGCCTATATAAGGACAGCATAAGAATGCTAATGAAATGGCCGAATGATATATCTAATATCTTACCTTATGATGTCTGTGCTGGTGAAGTTTTACTCGCCTCGACATGCTGGATCCTTGAAACTAAATTAAACTGAGATCCTGACCTACTTCCTGATGAGAATAATCTGCCTCAAGTGAGTTTTTCATAGAAAACAATTTTCCTTGCTTTCTTTATTAAATAATATGGAATGATATTTGTTTAAAATAAACACAATGGTGCTGCTGTAATGAATGAATAGAGCTTCTGTGTTATGTTGTTAAAATGTAAGAGGTCTCGTAGTACCAATGGAGGACTGCAATTCAATTCTGAGAAGGAGAGTTAGGAGAGTTTTCTCATTCCTTCACTTAAACTTGGAAAAAGAAGATGCAAGGTCATCACAGAAAAAAGTACATTTTGCATCCTCGTAATGCAGAATACTTCTGATTGTACACCTTAAATCCTAATATTCAGCCATTATTCAGGAACAGTGGTTTTGCTGTTGCTTTTTTCTTTCTAACATCAAACGTTTTGTCAAGACACTGTCCTGGAGCTAGCTTTGTGTTCCTTGAGCTTGACATTGACACAACCAACCAGACATTAGGACTTTTTTTTAGATGTCTTCTCCTTTCTTTCTGTATATTTTCTGTTTGACTACTGTGAGTAAAGGCCTCTAGAGCCACAAAAAATGTCTTGTTAGACAGCTCACTGTCTAACAAGGGTACTCTGACTTCTAATCTTCTGCAGTACAATTTCGGATTATTTTTGCTTGTGAGTGTGTGTGTGCATGGTTGTGATACCTCCCTGAATTGTCTGCCTTCACTAGTCTCCAGGTGGATTTGAGGCTGTAGTCAGAGGCTATGATGTTTACTTCTGAAGTTATGGTTGCAGACAAATTAATCTGTCCTTTACTCTAACCAATGTTGAGTGGTAAAGAATGGAGAGAAAACCTTCTCCTGTTTTAAGTCAACCATGTTTGTTCCTTCCAGTTGATTAAAGTCTATCTGATCCTCAGCAGTGGGTTCACTGCTCTGCTTTGCCACCTAAACACCTACTTTTTCTCTGTAGGATCAATAACAGTTGTGCTGTCAGCAAATTTTGTAACATGGTTAGAATTCAATCCCACAGTGAAGACATTTTACAGCAGAGTGAGCACTAACAGGGTTAAGATGAATGCCCTCAAGGCTTCAGTTGTCTGACTGAATGTGTCAGAAAGTTCAAGTACAGTTGCAGGTTGGAGGTGATTTCCAGAAAGACCTAAATACGTCTACATTTGATGAAAATAGTTAAGAGAACAGTTTCAATCAAGCTTTCTGTTTTATTCGCAAAATGTTTAAATCTTCTGTAAATGGTACTATTAATGAATATGAAGTGATTTAAAGATCATTTAAATTATTTTCTCTAAATAATATGAGGGATTAATGAAGTATTTTTGAATTTGAGTTGAATTATGAGTTTGTGTAGGAATTTAAGCCTGGGGATGAATAGTGCAGGTTTGGTTTATTAAATCACAGTAATGCAGGGTTAGATGTGTCCTTGATGTCATGGGTGTCATTAGAAAATGTCCGTTTCAGATTTTAATAAAACCTCCATGTGTTGCCAGATTATTTGGTTGCAGGTACGATGACCTACCTGTGATTTACCCCATTCCTTCACCTGAGCATTCTCCTGTTTTTTTCTGAAAGTTGTGGTCCACAACTTTCCTGGGAAAGTAAAATGCTTACTTTTGATTCTGCTGATCAACTCAACTCATCCACTTGACTCCCCTTAGCAGCACCCAGAAATGAAACAACTATGGAGGGAAATGCAGATTTCACATTCACTTTCCACCAACTTGTTCAGCCGCTCTGAACAAGTTGGTGGAAAGTTGCCATTGTAAATCATGGAGTAGTTTTAACATTTTACCGCTGAGTTAGAGGCAGGTACTTCCATGCCTACGCTGCAGGCAGAGGATGGAAGTGGAACAATTTTTATGGTAACGGATTACTCTGTCACAGTTGTAAGTTTTGAGCTAGATTTAACGCATTTCAAAGCTTTGAGTCATCACACTCATTGGGCATGTCACAAATGTGTAATTTTGATGAACAACTGTGACTTTTTTGGTGCATAATCAATGCCAGGGGTTCTCTGAGTAATATTAGGGTTCTGTGGGGTTTGATTTTAGAGAAGTGTTTTCACATTCGTCTTCTGGAAGGACACATGCTGTCAGAGTCAGAAACCATTCAGATTTAAGGGTTGCTTAGACCATTAAAGGATGAGAGGGAACCTAAAAAGCAGTGATTTGTTTGAATTGCTTCAAACGGCCGGTTTGGACTTTGAGAGTAATCATTCTCTGAACCACATGCTTGTCCTCCTTTCTCCGCTGTGTGTTTTTCACTGTGACGTCGTCTGTTGTTCATCAGCTGCAGTCACCATCGACAATTAAGAATACTCTCCAACTTTCACACGCCTTGTGTGCATGAACAAACTCATCTATCTTGTTTGTGCCTCATAGTTTTCCAATAAACATTTCCCCGTACCAAACCAGCTCTCATTTTTGTGTGCGATGCAGCGGACACGCCCCCCGTTGCTTTTCACTCTCTGTTTTCTTCAACTAAGGAAATGGTCTCTCGGCTGCACCTCGGGAGATCAACACTGCTTGGTATGAGTCACCATCCAGACTCCTGTATCAGTCGCTGCCAGCTCAATAAGCCTGAATTTCCAGCTAACTGGGTCTGGGTTGGCATCCTGATTCAGCTAACCTCATTTCCAACAAGGATGAGGTCCAGCTCTAAGAGGCTCAAACAAGCCAAAGCCAAGTATATTTGGGCAGAAAACCATCCTCTTGGAAGCTTTTGCAATTGCCGTATGACTCAGCCACCATGTGTTTGGACTCCTAGTTAAACATGAAAATAACTGACCTGATATGACTTCAAATTACTGACATTTTTACAAAAGTCATCAGCAACAAATAACATTTTACAGACCTTTTTTGTATGAAGCATTTAAGTGATTTTTATTTTTATGTGTGCATGCGTCCTGTGCGTCAGATGGTTTTCTGTTCCATAGCGGCAATAAAAAATAACTGCTGTTGTTGCTGCTTGTTTGAACGTGTGTTTCATTGACCCTCCGGTTGAAAGCTGTGTTCTCAGAAGTGAGAGGCCACATTGATGACCCTCCCTGTGTTTGTCCAGGAAGATGTGTTCAGCAACATGTGGTCTTCATCATTAACAAATGAGCTGTAAAAGTGGAATCACATCAGCTTTTTATCTGAAAAGGAAAGAACATAATATGTTTATGGCATGGTGGCTCATTCATCAGCAGAGAAGGAGGAGGAGAAGTGGAAAGTAAGAATTAAGTTCCAATATTAAATAATGTGCTTATATTTTATACAATGTTAGCAGAATGTAATTAAGTGGAAGATTTGAGGTGAAAAACAAAACTCTTAATTTTGTGGATTACCTGCGCTCATTTCTTTTTTCTTTTTGTCTTTCATTTGCAGTCAATGTGGAGTTATCTCCATCTACATTTGGAATTGCAGAACATTTTCATTTTTTCTTGTTCCAGAGATTTAATGATTTGCTACTTTTAAATAGGCTGAAGAGAAGCAGAATGTGGGTCACCTTGTTTTGGGGGGCTGGCGATTCAGCCCTATAGAAATCCGTGTTATGGGATATTTTAAATAAAACAAAATTACTGTTACTTACTGCTATTTATGAGTATCTCAAATAAAAAGAACATGGCATTACCACCAGACTAGTAGACAGGTGGAAGCTTATATTATCAAGCATTTCTAAAATATTTCTATATGTTTTTGTGAGGTCTTTTTTTTAAAGGTTTGATCTCATTTGTCCAAATCACAGCTGCAAAAATCTTCTGGAAAGTATGATAATTAAGTTTGTTATAACTATCATAATATCAGACATAAAAGTATTATATTAAAAAAATACAAATTCAGAGGTAAAATGAACAAATTTACAAAAGGCTACTGTCACTTGAGGTAACAGTAAAGTTAACCTTTTCTCCCTTTCACTCCCCTGCATTTTGTTTGTGGGTGTTGCAGTGAATGGGTTAAATACAAATGCCTGCCACTCTTAATTTTATTTGACACAACACAGCGCAGAACTTCTCTGTCAAATATGGAGTCAAAATATGTTGCCGTTTGTGATTGTAATTTGATAAGATCTCAGAGGTAATTTTACCTGCAAATGAAATCCTCTGTCTGTGTTACAATAATACGCACCTTAAAACCTGTATCCATTCCAGAGGCATAATTCAATAACCACATTCCAGCTTGCGACCCCTAAGCAATTAGTTCAAGTTAGAATAGCTTGTACAAAATTTTCTCTTCAACTTTTAGCTGCTTAAAATGAATGGTGTGTTTAATACGAGGTGCAGGGTAATTACTTAGAGTTTTATTTCCATTTTGTGCATTGATTGTTTTGGCGCACAAACTACTCACAGCAGGAGAAGAACAAATTGGCAAAATGAGTTTTGCTTTTAAATTTGAGCAACGTTGGGTCTGAGGGTTTCTGTTGAATATGAATTGTGAAATGGCCTATTACTGTCCCCTTAAGGAGAACATAAATGCATTCAAAGATTTGTGTGTTTCACTAAAGTGAAAAACTGGCATGTGGAGCAAAGCATTTGTCGGTGGTGGATAGGCTGCCTGCAGTTTATTAAGAGACACTAGGTACTATTTGATGAATGGACGATAATAAACCAGAAGTACTTCTGGATTCAAAGTAAATTATTTCACATGAGCTGCACGTTACTTCATCATCATTCAAAAGCACCTTTATGTTCAGAAAATGATATGAATGTTTTTGTTTTTCAATACTTTTTTCTTTACCTGAAAAGCTTCTGTGAAGCGCTTTGGAATCCTCTGGACTTGATAAAGTGCCATGAAAGCCATTTACTGTACCATTTACCATGAAGTTTTTTGTCACATGCTTTTATTTTGGATAGGATAAATTATTGCAATGCTTTCTTTACAACTCAGCTGCATCTGATCTAAAATGTTGCCAGAGTGCTGCCTGAAATCAACAAAATGTTTAATTTTACAAGTGCACCTCAAAAATGTACAACATCAATGTCAAATTTCTATATTTCAGGAACTTAATTCACTAAGTGACTTTACATAGATGAATTACACACAGTCTGACACCTTAAAGTGTTTACTTCTAATAATCACAACAATTTTACACTTAAAAGGTTATAAAAACACATTTAATTTCTCACAAGATTCGAATATTACATCAGACCAGTAAAAAAAAGATATATATATATATATATACATATATATTTTTTGTTACAGAAACATTGACTAAATGAAACGTATGAGACCAATTTATTTTCCAATAGGTACTTTTAGTTTAACAAACAAGCTTCATAGAGAAATGTCTGTTTTAATTTACTGAGATGAACATATACACCAGATTTTAAATCACCGCATTGCCTCTTCATTTACTAAAGAATAAATTTGAAAGTCTTGGGAATTTTCTTTCAGGCACTAAATGGTTTAAGGTTTATGCTTTTTTATCTTTGATTTTGCTACCTTATTTTCCTGTAAAGATGCACACATTATTGAATCTTTCAATGGTGCTGTTCAGAGGAAATTGCCTTGCTTCTTTTTAAAGGCCATCCATGTTTTTTCTTTCTTCATCTTTATCAGTCCTCAACCATGGCTTCCTTCATCCTCAAATTGTGACATTAAGTTGATTCATTTTTACATAATAGTGTTCAATAATAAATGTCGATAAGAAAAGTGAAAGCAATTCTGCCACATGCTGATGATGCACTTTAATTTAATTCTTTTTCTCTTTTTTACTTTTTTATTAGAATTTTCTGGAAGAAAAAAAAACATGAAAAGAAAAAAAAATAGATGGAAATTAAGAAACACACAGGGCTCACTCTACCTGCACAAAAAGAAAAGAAAAATTAAGTTTACATGTCACAGAGTTTGACAAGCTGTAGGAAGGGAGGCCAGATATCTATAGTCTTTTTTTTACTTTTTTAAATATCAAAACAAACAAACATTAAACAATAAAGCACATAAGACCCTTATTGTATAGACACATATAAAATGCTGTTCATTCCTCTTGTTTAAATCTGAGACACAAAGAATGATCAAAGTTCTACGGTGAACAGACTTTTGAAATGATATTTTGAGATACAGTCCTCTTTGTAAAAGCATTGATTTATTAACTGTGATGCTTGTGAGTATGTGTGTACTCACAAGCATCACAAACTCCGTTTGAGGATATGAACTTCCTCAAAAGTTAATGTTACTGCCCCCAACGGTTTGCACCCCCAGGGTGGTGAGCCATGTGGCCACTATCCAAAACCTTAGTGGTACATTTTGGCTGTGCAGTAACTACATACATGTAACTTAAACTATCCCTGGCGTGGTCAGACTATGTGCTGTTTTGCGGCAGGTCACGCCGGTCATTGTAAATCACCGCCCCCGGAGGAAAGAACACCATGTCGGGCACCGGCGGCGCGTTGCCCGGCACCAGCGGGTGTCCCTGCTCGTCCATCTCTGGCTTCGTGGTGGCCGTGATCGGTCTGATGGTGGTTACAGTCGGAGAGGTCATGCGCCAGAAAAGGTTTTTGAGCGCTTTCCTGAACTCTCGTCGCATCAAGCAGTACAGGATGGGGTTCAGGCAGCTGTTGGAGTGCGCCAGGCACACCGACACGGGGAAGACGTACACCTGCATAGTGTAGTACTCATAAGTGAAGTGAACAGCGTTAAGTTTTATGAGGATGCCCCATGCTGTGAGCGCCTGGTTGGGCAGCCAGCAGAGGAAAAAGGATAAAACCACGATGGTGACCGATCTCGTGACCTTGGCGCGTCGTTTCGCGCTGGAGGTGTTAATGTTCTTGGAGGTGATGAAGCGCAAAAGCAGCAGGTAGCAGGCGGAGATGACTCCCAGAGGCACCAGGAAGCCCACCACCACTTTCTGGGAGTGATAGAGTCCGAGCCAAAATTGCGCCGACCCGTTAGTCTCCGGGAATTTCACCAGGCACAGGTCCTCGTTGGAGACCGTGGCGGTGGTGGAGTAAACCGCGTGCGGTAGGGCGGCGGAGACGGCGGCGAACCAGATGAAGACGGAGACGCACCGCGCCGAGCAGCAGTGCCTGCGCCGCCGCCTGCCTTTTAGCGCCGAGGCGAGGGAGCAGTACCTCGCCACACTCATGGCCGTGAGGAAAAACACGCTGGCGTACATATTCATTGCCGTCACGTAGGAAACTATCTTACACATGGTTTTCCCGAAGGGCCACGTGAAGTCCAGCGCGTTCTCCACGGCCCAGAAAGGCAGAGTCAGAACGAACTGGAAGTCAGTCACCGCCAAACTGGTTACGAACAGGTTGATGGAGGATTTCTTCCACACCTGTTTGGACTTCATCAGGTACAAAACCAGCAGGTTCCCGACCAGACCCAGCGCGCAAACCAGAGAGTAGATCACAGAGATTGTAATCCTGACGAAAGCGGCACCGTCTCCGACGACGTCGGTTTTCGTGAAGTCCGACATGTGAAAGTCTGCGTGCGAGCAGTTTGAAGTATTGGAAGCGCAGCTGAAGTTGGCGGAGGCAGCGTGAGCAGTCCCGACCGAGCCTTCATCGCTGATGTCCGTTAATTCCCCAGACATTATTATTTTTTATTATTTTTTTTTTTTACTCCCGAAAATCTTCAGCAAAGTCATTCTCTGATCCAACTTCGTGTCTTGGGAAGCAATAAAGTCCTCGGCTTGAGCGTCATGCTGGCTCCATATATAAACTCTAAAATGATGGAATTATAAACAAATAGATGAAAATAAACAAACAAGTAAATAAAAGCTTCTTGTCAGATTGGTGGGCTTGTTGGGAGGATCAGCTTGTGTTGCGGCTCTGATCCAACGCAGCGCTCCAGCGCAACTTGGTGCTGTCCTTGGTGCTGATTAGGAGCCACAAAGGACCCAACCCTCACTTGCATATCATCTCATGCTGACATGTCAGAGAATCGAAGGTTATCACGACAAGACATGTTTCAGTCAATTTAGTAGCTACTGCTGAAATTTCACTGGCTTTTAAATAAAAACCTACCCTCCACCTCCTCTCTGTTTCTCTCTCTGTCCCTCTCTCTCTTTCTCTGACACACACAGAGGTAAGAAGAGGCGGACAGAAGCACATGTACTTATATAATGTGAGGAGAAGGTGCACTCGACTGCAGAAACTTTTATAACGTTTGTTTTTGTTTTTTTTTTCTTGTATGCTTGAAAGAAAAACAAATCTTACTTTTTAGTCAAAATGTTTGTGTTGTTCTTTGGATTTTAATGGGGAACTCCTACAGCAAAGGAGTCATGTACTCACACCTGATGTTTTGTTTCCTTTGTTTTTGTGCCTCCGTGCATTGATTTTTTTTTTTTTTTTTTTTTTTTTTTTTGCACTACGTGCTCTTTGACAGAAGCCGCTGCGTTTGTTGCTTGGAGAGGTGGAGGCCTCCACCCTCTTCCATAGAAGAGAAGTTAACAATCAATACACGGTTTCAGCTGTGGCGCCAGTTTATTTTGGTCAAAAGGCTGTCAGGTCAATAGACATAAACCAGATGGTTTCTACACTGTAAAAAAGGAACCTCAGGGGTTATCACATTAACAAAAGAATATCATGTACTGTTAACTAAATAATTTCATGTTTGAGCCAAAAACATGATACAATCATGTTGCATAAACAAGATATTCCACAACTTCAACGTTTATAAAATGTAATCATGTTGAGCTAACATGATTCATTATAGTCAGACCGATCCTATGCTGAAGACCACGAGTGAGATCACGGGATATCACGCAAGTTCACGCAAGATTACGGAAAATCACGGGATATCACGCGAGAACACGCGAGACAATCGGGTTTCTCTCGCAAATGGAATAAAATGTATTCAAGGTGAGATGACGTGATTCAATTACGTCAGCTAGATCTTCCGTCAAAAAAAAGAACGTCGGGGCGTTTTACATTGACAAAAGAATATCATGTACCTTTCACACAATAATGTTGGGTTTGAAGCGAAAACGTGATAAAATCATGTTGGATAAACAAGATATTCCACGACTTCATATTTATAAAATTGAATCATGTTGAGCTAACATGATTCATTATAGTCAGACTGATATTGTGCTGACGACAACGAGTGAGATCACGGGATATCACGCGAGACCACGCGAGACAATCGGTTTTTTCTCTCAACTGAACTAAAATGTATTCAAGGTGAGCTAACGTGATTGAATGACGTTATCTCAACTTGAATACATCTAATTAACATATATATACCCACCGTGGGTGGTTCTTATCCTCTGAGCCTGGGAGCTTGAGGGTCCTGCGCAGTATCTTGGCTGTGCCAAGATACTGCGCAGGACCCTCAAAATATATATATATATATATATATATATATATATATATATATATATATATATATATATATATATATATATATATATATATATATATATATATATATATATATATATATATATATATATATATATATATATATAATTTTATTTTATTCAATATCAATATTTGTCAAAGTTCATCTAATTTAAAAAAACACAGTGACGTCAGTTCCAAAGCGCTATTGTGTCAGACTCATCTCCCGCTGAAGAGGATCCAGCGACATCAAGAGATTACGGAAAATCACGCGAGATAACTGGCTTGCACCTTGTTGGGTTTTTTCAAGGGCAGAGGGGAGATTCCTGGCGTGCATCTACTTAATTTGAAGAAGGTAAGAGTCAATCTATTTTCATCTAAATCCATATAAAAATATGTAACTTAAAATTTCTCTACCATTTGCACCATTTTCTACTTGTTCCATACTTGTGTCACATTATTTCATGTTCTGTAGATTAAGTCGGTTAGGTTAAGGCAGATAGCTTTTTGTTTACATTTATCGCCGCACCATGTTAGGTACATTCTGTGCGAAAAAAGTCTGCAGAGCCATATCTAGTGTACAAAGCTGCTGCCAGTGACACAAATGGACCCCAGAAATGTCACAGTTTTGTTCCTCCTGAGCTCCCTGGAGGTTTAGAGGATTTTTAACACACGGATCTAACATCAGTCTATTTCTAACTATTTTAATTCTATTTCAGTAATGTTACTATGGAGGTAAATGTAGATACACACACACACACTTTGGTACCTTTCTATCATCATCGAGATTCTTAATTAATTATGGTAATAAAAAGTCCTACATTTCAGTCGGTGAAACCTGCAGAAAGCATTGCTTTCTGAGCTTTGTTAAATGTTCCTAAAATACCTGTTAGTTATGGATTTCTAGTATATTTTGTCAGGCTAAAACTCTCAATGGATTATCCATTATTACAGACTTGAGCTTTCTATTTTTTTCTTTAAAATACATATTCCTCTGCTGTAAAGATGTTGGGTTTTTTTTTGGACTCTTCTTTGTTGTCCCCAAATAATTGTAGCTCAGAAACAATATTGAAGTTCATTGGTTTAATTTTGAAATGTTGATGTTTTTTGTGTTGATTGTGCTCATTTTGACCTATGTTACTATTACTTTCTACCATGTTCAATTCACCATTGTTCTGCACATATGTGCTTGCATGTGTCCAGTGATTATATTCATGAGGCATTCAAGGGACTTGTACTAAAAGATACAACTCAGTTCAGTATGAATTGCATATTTTAATGGCTGAAAATATATCTGATCTCTTTCAGAACATCACCTGATCACCTGTCTGTAATCCACCTGCGTAAGTTCTGGTCAAGGGGCTCATCGGCTATCAAGTTATAGATTTCAGTGGCTAATAGTAAGTTTTGCCAGATCTAAAGTGACTGGATGTAGTGTTAGAGAGCTTATAAAGCTAGGGTTCAGCTAAACATTTATTTGGCCAGTCTGTTTTATTTGTCTTTATTTGCGTGGGGATGTGGAAATGTAAGGAGTGTAGTCTCTCTCTGTCTCGTAGATATGACCTGTTAAAACATTTTACACTTAAACACCGGCATATGCGACGTTATCCATGCCCACACATAGACTGTCCATGTACTTGTAAGACATGGAATGCTTTGCATATTCATTTAAGTAGAAGGATATAGACTGTGTTGACCATTCTGTACTTTTCACATATTTCTTTGGTGATATATTCATGTCTTTATTTAAACATCTAACAGCTTCAGGTAGATGTTTAAATAAAATGTTAAACTCCATTTTAGTCATGGCATAATGAAGGGATACTAACAATTTTAAATATCTTTCAAATAGACTGCAAGCCACTGATCACTTTTGTTGTGACTTCCTTTGAATGTAGCTATGTTTTCAAGTGTGTGAACCTATACTGCTGGAGTTTTGAGATTGTTCTCATTGTTTTTTGATCTGCATATTTAGGAAGACACTGCTGAGGTCAGACGAGAGTGCATCCTCAAAGGTCTGTGTGTACCTAAATGAAGATCCAGAGAAGCTGGTGAGGGAGTACATGGTATGTTAAATTCTCTTTGTGTTTACAATAGAACTCCTAAGAGTTGTTAAAATACTTTCACCAACTAAGGTCCATGAGTGACTCAATCAATGTCAGTCTTAATTTATTATTTAATTACATGTGAATTGTCTCCCCCCCAATACCCTTCCCTAACTCCCTTAGGACGTTGATGAATGAAATGGCCAAAGACGAGACTGTCCTCGGAATCGTCATTTGAGCAGAGGGTGCAGAGGCTGCCGATGCACATCTGGATGTTGGGATTGTCCTGGAGGAGGTGGAAGTTATGAACAGCTTGGGCAGTGTATCTTCTGCAATAGTGATGCTGCTGGGACTAATCTACGCACTAAACTTGAGCTACCCTCAAGTTTAGTGCGTTCAGCACTCAACTTGCTCAGTAACTCAAGCATACCTTTGAAGTAATACAGAAAATAATAATGAAATTGGATGGAAAGAACTTATCAAAGAAAGCACAAGTTCTCAATATGAAACTCGCCGCTCAGTTGAGTTAAGTTTCATATGGAAAATGAGTGTTTAAAGTCTGCAGTAGAAAAGATTTATATTGTTACAGTTCTCTTAGTTGAGCAACTATACTGACATGTTTTATGTTGTAAAGAATTAGATGGAAAATGAAACTGTAACCTTTTTGTAGTTGTTTTTTTATTTCAATGTCCAACTCAGCTGTGTTTTGTGCTGTGTAAAAAAACGATGTATAATAATTCTGAAAATACAATTGTGTTGTACCTTTTCTAATTGTTGAGTGTTCTTCCTACACTTTCACCTAGTGCTATCTTAAAATGCTTGATTAACACTTGAAAATATGTCTTTGAATTAACATCATGAAATAATGGAAAGGATTTCCACATGATTAACTAGCTGTCTTTTAGCATGAAGCATATTTGTTGAGCTAACTTGCTTTTAGTGAGTTGTACTGGTCTAGATTCTACTGAATCAGGTAGTGTGAAGGTACCACTGTAAAATAAGGTGGTTTCAACTAGATTTACATTCATCTTAATGAAGTTACATCAATGATTTGGTCCTAAACATTGCAGATTAGTTGGACTGGCTGTATTGCATTACACTGGGTCACTCTATAGTAACTGAGTTAAAGGAACCTTTAAAACATATGTTGAGCCAACACATTTCATTTGAATTTGAATAACCTTAATGAATGGAGTTGAGCCAACTCATTTGATTTACAATCATCCATTGCATTACCATAATTCTGGTTAAGCCAACACATTTGGTTTAAATTAGAACAACCATAATAAATTATTTTTTGCCAACTCATTTAATTTATATAAGAATAACCACAATATATTACGTTGAGCCAACATGTTTGATTTAGAATCACCCATTGAATCACCATTGTAACAAGTTGAGCCAACACATTTGCTTTACATTGAAATAATCTTCATAAATTAGGTTGACCTAACACATTTGCTTTAAATAAGAGTAACACAAGTACATGGTGCTGAAATAAAGCAAAGTAATCACGTGGAAATCCTTTCCATAATTTTTTTATGTTCATCCAATGACTTATT